TTACTTCAGTGTCTATATCATCACGGCTTACTTCGTAGTATATGCAATACCTGTGCAGCCAACAATTTTGAAGGAGAATTTCCTATCCTGTTAGTTTTGTGGTGTTATTGTTGTTGTTGCTAAGTGCCACTGAATCAGCTCCAACTTACAGCGACCCTGTATAGGGTTTCCGAGGAGTGGGTGGTGGATTTGAACCACTGACTTTGTGACCTGGTGCTTATCCTAGAGCGCTACACCAGGACTCTATCTGTTTTATACCTCCCTCCCAATACTGGCACAAGAGACACAAACTGACCTTACAAACTCAGCCAGCCTAAAAGAGGAACGTAACAATGTGGGGGGTTTAATGACTCAGAGCTCAAAAGGGCCGAGAGTCAACATAATTTTTCTAATTAACTTCTAAAGTGTACAGTAAAAATGATAAATTCAGACTTGAAACGAAAGCTTTCATTTTGTGGACTACTTTATCATCAGGCTGACATTAATGCATTACAAGGTGAAAGCAGACCTACACACTCAAGAGACAAACTCACCCTTCTTGCTTTGCTCTGATATTTAATGGCTTTTTTAGTTTCTTCTTTAGCATGTTCTACATAGTCTGCAGCATTCATGACGTTTTTTTCTATGTTGTTGATCATTTCACCCTTGAAATAAAAAGTTTCAAACTTAGGAGAAGTTTTCAAATGCTGTGCTGGAGTACCTGAAAAGCAGCATGGAAATGAGTGAAGTTTTGACACAAACACGAAGTGCATGTAACGGATGCTGATTAGCTTTACTGTCACACTTCCCGAGAGGTGAAAGGTGAGGCTCACTGTAAGTGTGCCAACATGCACTGAAAATCCAAGGAACTTTTTCAAAGGAACTCGGAGGGGGCCGGGCAGCGGTGATGGGATGATATGCTTTACTGTGCAAACAGCCTCTTAAAGATGAGCCCAGTGAGAGGAAGGGAGCTCGCTCTAGGGAAGCTCATCTTTTACTAGTCTGTACAAACATACAGTAGTATACAAGTGACGACTGTGGCTCTTTCTTTAAAGAATCAGTAAACTAAACATAGGATGCTATGTACGGCACTCAGTTAACTACATTACTAGGCAAAAATATGAAGGAAGATGACCCCAGTGAATCATTAGGGAGAAGACATGTTACCTGGTTTTCTGTCCACGGCAGACATACTCTGCAGCAGTGAATAGTAAAGCATTGAAGAGTGAAGAACAACCGACATGTCTATTCACAAACGTTAACTTATTGCTAAGTTACAAACACACATGTCTTTTGAATGAGATAAGCGGATTACACAGTCCTAGTACTTCTAACAGTGAACCGTGAAACAAAGCCAAGTATGCAGCGAGTTCTCTGACAGAGCCAGAAGGAACGCATTTGGTGTGGAGCAGTGAGAATGACGGTCTAAGATATGGCAAGCCCAGTCTCAAGTTCATAGCGTCTAGCTGGCTGCCTTCAGAATACTTCCTGAAAACTGAAAGCGGTGGCATCACACCACACTCGCCCATTTCTTACATCACAGATGGCAAGGGGGCCACCCCAAATTAGGAGCTGTTCCACCCCTGCTCCCCTGGAGCTGTTGGTTTCATCTAGCAAACTCATGGCACCTATGTTTGCACACATTCTAGGCTAAAGCTGCTCACAATAAACAATGCTCTGCTGGGGTTACGCAGAGACCGCCCTCGCCTACTGTCCACTGTCTGCCTCCACACTGAACATTGCAACAAAGTTTCTTGAGTTTTGGGACTGGACCCAAAACGATGACCTTTCCAGGTATACTGGAGTCAACCATTAGATGTCCCCCGTGCCCCTCATGGCAGACTTGGGCTTTGCATCGTTACCTGAGTCTCAACAAACATAGCCATGTCCATGAACATTTCATGCAGCTCCCGGATACTGGTCTCCAACTTCATGATATCTTTGTGACGGGACTCAATTTCATTAAGTGCTTGCCGTGTGATTTGTGAATCGGAAATAATCTTTGGAAGGCACAGATAAGAGACAGGAATGAAGCTAATTTGCTTTGGAAGATAAAGGCAAACATGAGCCACAGAGCGACGTGCGGCACTCACATCTGAGGTGAAAATGGAAGGGTTCCCACTTTCCAGCATCTCTTCCAGCTCATCGTCAGTGGTGGTCTTTCCAGCTGAAAGATGAACCAGGGAAACATCCATTCACAATGTTCTAAAACGAGGATTTCTTCAACCATAAATTCACAAGGAAAGTCTAATTGAGGTCTTAACATTTTCAAACAATGTTGCCCTATCCTTTCAAACACATTTTTTGAGGTAAATATTAATGATGAGGAAATTCAACCTAAGAGTAAGAATCGGGAAGAACCAGAAAATACTCATGAAAAACTTTATAGGGTTTTCATAAACCCCAAAGGATTAAACTGTGGTCAACTGATTGAACTGCATTCCATACCGGAAGCAAAAGTACTTACAGAAACACAAAGATATCCAGCACCAAACAAAATTCACAATGTTTGGCATCCCAAAATTATCAGGCACTAGAAGAATCAGAAAAAAACTAACCCCGAAGGAGGAGAAAAATCAACCAATCCAAACTGACAGAGAATACACGTAGCTGTTAGAAAGATCAGACAAGGGTTTAAAACAATTACAACTATACTCCTATCCTAAAGTTCAGTTAAGTATAGATATGGAAGATATATAAGAAAGACCCTGGGAAAAACCCAAGAGTAGGTTCTTAATTACGCCTCAAGCCAGGAACTGAACGCAACCCCATGGCCCAACTTCCAATCAAACAACAGGTTTATAAAGGGAACATCGACACAGGTGAAGGATACATTTCTTCGGACAACCATATGTGATGAAAAGGGCAGCATGTGCCCAGGGAGAAAGGTGAGAGAGCAGGAAGGGGCAGGAGACAAGGAAGAACAGAAGCCGGAAACACAAGGAAGTGGGAAGGCCGCTGCTCCTTGGTGGGATGGCAGTCAATGAGCACACCGAAATGGGTGTGAGCTGTCCAATAGAAAGCCGATCTGCTCTGTAAAGCTGCACCCGATGCACAACAAAAGGTTAAAAACAAACCAACCACATGACCCAACCATACAGAGTTCTGAAACAATTGGAAGCACATCCATGGGCTGTGGGGCCACTTCAGGCAGCCGCATGACCACGGGAAGATGGTCTCTGAAGAACATGGCTGCGAGAGCACTGTGAAAGGCCTGGGACTTGCCTGACCTTCACACTGACAAGTCACAGCTGAGACCCCCAAGCGGGGATCCAGCAAGCCTGACTGACCTCCACATTTGTGCAGATATGTAAGCCTTTTGCCTTTTGGTCCAGAGGAAGATGCTACTACAGAAACAGCCTGGGGAGGGTCGTCCAGAGCAAACAGGCCAGTCCCTACCCTGCTCACAAGATCGTAGAGGCCTGTGGGGAATTTTCTCCCAGCCCAGGGCAAGAGGGGATTGGGAACACAGGGGGAAACATGTGAAGGAGTAACGGCAAAACATTTTTCCAACATTGAATGTGGTTGTTGTTAAACCCTGTATAGGGTTTCCAGGGTGCAGCTAGTAGGTTTGAACCACCGACCTTGCAACTCAAACTGATTTTGCAGTCTAGCACATTATCCTGCAATGCCACACCAGGATTCCAATAGAACTCTAATAAAACCAGTGCCAGGAGTCAATGCCAACTCACAGCAACCCGACAGGACTGGTGGAACTGTCTCATAGGTTCTCCAGGACGATAAATCTTTACAGAAGCAGACTGCCCCATCTCTCTCCTCAGAGTGCTGGTGGATGGGCTCCAACTACTGACCTGCCATCTTTCAGTCAGGAGCCATCGGGCGCCTAACGCACTAAGAGTAACAGTGATTACCAGAGATTTAAAGTCCACTCACCTAGAATATGCTAAAAGTCCTAAGTAAACAATAGGTTGGGTTCAAGCACAGAGTAGGAAGACATGAGAGGTCTTCAGATTTTATAACACTGGTAAACACAAGAATGGAATTACTGGTTTTGAAGTTAATATACTTTGAGGTGACCTTAAAAAGTAAAAGTCTGTTTTCAGCTCAGGGAAAGTTTCCATTCACTCACTTATTTCCAGCTGACGCTGGATGCGCCCTTTGCTCCGCTCCCGAAACAGAGTCTGTGCCTCGTTAAATTCTGTCATGACTTCCACAAACTTCCGAGACAGCACTGAGTGCTAACAACACAGAGAAACCAGAACAGTGAGTACGTGGCGGTCCTGTCTTCTCCGGAAGACCACTGTGTTTCAGAAGCCCACACTGTCGCACGGCTCCTTCATGTGGCAACGCAGAACGGCAGCGGCCCTGTACCACCACCCACTTTTTCAGCATCAGCTCAGTTGAGTCTCACAATCACTGCGCACCCCGTTCTTGAGAAAGCCAAGACTCAGGAGCAGTGGCTCCAGGCTCTGCCAACACCAGGCCGCCCCTCTGTCAGGTAAAGGCGGGCTTTCCTTGGACCATGCTGCACCATAAACCAAACCCCGGGAGGCCCTAGGCACAGGAATGATTCGGATCACTCCTGCTCTTCAGAGTACAGCTCTGCTGAGAGCTGAACACAGGTTTTTTCTTCCTAATAAAGAGATGCAGTCTACAGGGACCTGGCCATCTGTTCCCTATGGGGCTGCCCCACTAAGTCACAGGGCATCACTAGGAGTTGGAAACCATTCGACAGCACACAAAAATAACACCAGTCTACAGGGACCTGGCCATCTGCTCCCTATGGGGCTGCCCCACTAAGTCACAGCGCATCACTAGGAGTTGGAAACCATTCGAGGACCCACAACATCAGTCTATAAACATTGTGTTCTTCTAATGTGTTAAGGAAGTGCAGATGCACGTGACTGCAGAGATGGACTCAGTATGCGTCCAAGACGCCTCCTCAGACACAAGGACTGCAGGTTACAGGGCGCTCAGCAGACCTGGGTCCGCCGTATCCGAAGGTCCACGGACGTCCGGTGGCCACTGTCATCCTGATCGAAACTCTGTTCAATAGCTAGAAACAAAGAGAAAAGAGTTACCTTTTCAGTTAAAAACAAGTTTTTCAGCCCAAAACTTACATTGCTTTTCTGTCTTCTCTTCAAACTACAGCTCTTCATAAAGTTAATGATCGATCAGGTGACCTTTTGAGATAATCCACTATCTATCCAGAGGAATGGTGGCAGTGGTGTGCCACAGTCGGTTCCGACTCACGATGACCCTGTAAAGGGTTTCCAAGGTGGTAAATCTTTACAGGAACATTAAGACTCATCTTTCTCCCAAGGAGCGCCTGGTGGCCTTGAACTGCTGACCTTGCGGTTAGCAGCCCAACACATAACTCACCACGATACCAGGACTCCTTCTGTGTATGTATACAGGAGGATAAGTCAAACAGATTGCTACAATGTCACAGGAAGCATTATTAAACAAACACAGTGAAATGTGAAGCTATTGTTTATCAACATATCCTCTGCCTAGGTCTGAAGGTGATGCTTCCAGCTCTTTAAGCCTGGGTTCTTCAACTGACTCCACACTCAAACGGCAGCTTTACATCTTCGAGGCACTCAAATCACACTCCTCTGAAAGACTGCTTCAGGTTTAGGAACAAAAGAAGTTGGAAAGGGCAAGATCGGCGTTGTGGGGCGGCTGGGGTAGAACTTTCAATGGAACTCTCCCAGGACAGTCCTTGCTGTCCTTGAAGAATGACGGACACATTGTCGTGATGAAAAAATATTCTTCAGCACAACTTTCCTGGTCTTTTTCTCACCAAAGCAGTTTTCAATTTTCCTAGAACTTCGTCTCCATAAGCCCCCAGAATCGTCCTGTGTCCTTTCAGAAATTTTATCACAATGGCCCGTTTGGAATCCCCAAACAGTTGCCATGGCATTCTGAGCTGACCTCTCGGCCTTGAATTGAAGCGGGTCAGCAGATCACCTCAGAAACCACTGTTTTGATTGGTCCTCTGCTTTGAAGGTCCCTTAAGAGGACTAAGAGAAGGGTACTCCTGAGCGAGCTTGTCTGCAGCTGTCCAGAAACATGTTTAAACACATTTTGTTTGTAATAAAACTGCGCACGAACTGGAACCCTAGTAGCAAAGCTTTTTGATGTATTTTCATTGGTATATCTACCTACAGAAGAACAGCAATGGAAAAACAGCCCATAAACGTCGTTTAAATGGTTACCACTTGGAGACAGAGAGACATAGAAGCTGGCACTCTCTAACCTTCTCTTATGCATTTGACTTTAGGACGATGTACACATTTGGCAAAACTAACATGCCACATTCAGTGTTTACAAAAGCAATCCCTCTGTAAACCTTCACCCAGTTCACCATAAAAAGTTTGAAAAATAAAAAATACAGCAATCCCTAAAACGCACAAATACACTGGGTCAAGGTGGCAGCATGGTCACACGGGGTAGGACTATCTATGCAAAGTGACTGTAAAACTCCGTCCTTCTGATTGTCTATCTCAAGGGGGCTATAGCTATAAAACACAAAGAACCACCACAACGGCAAAAATGACAAACTGCTCTTCCTGTGGTGGGTGCTGGCGTCAGTATTCCGACTCTGCTGTGTGTGTTCTCATATCAAAGCAAAAACCAAACCCACTGGCACTGAGGGGACTCTAACTTAGAGCGAGCCTGTATCTGGCTTCCGAGACTGTGAAGCTGTATGGGGGCAGACTCATCCTTCTCAGAGCAGTTGGTGGATTTGAACTGTTGACTTTTCTGTTGGCAGCCTGGTGCCTAATCTGTAGTGTCACCAGGGCTCTTTGTGTGCACTCTAAACCCAATGCCATCAAGTCGACTGAGACTCACAGCGACCGTAAACAGTTCTGAGGCTGTAAATCTTTACAGGAGCAACAAAGCAAATGGGCAGCTATGCGGTACCACTGACAGCCAGAGTGTGGGGCACAGCTGCAGAGGGATACAGGTAGAATCCTTTCAGGTGAAGCCAAATCATTAGTTCTTAGTTCGACTTGGGAATCTCAATAGGAATCCATGACTTGTCTTTTAAAAACACAATCCTCACTTTATCCACTGAAACAGCCTTGAAACTATGGTCCTACTGCTGAGTGCACAGCCAGCCGCACACGCCTCAGGCTCCTGACTCTGAGGTTCAGAGGGCCATGCTCTGGAAAGGGGAGCAAGGAACCCTGGTGGTGTGGTGGGCTGCCAACCCCAAGGCCAGCTGTATAAGTCCACCAGGCGTGGGAGAAACGTGAGGCTTTCTGGTTCCACAAAGATTTATAGCCTCGGAACAGGGTTGCTGAGTCGGAACCAACTCAATGCATACAGCCAGTCAACCTGAAAAGGAACCGAACTCTTGGAAGAAATGCTTGGTCACAGGTCTGGGCAGGAAAAGTACAACATAAGCTAGAACCATCTTGTCTGGCCAGGGAGCTGAAAGACCGTCAGAGACCGAGACAAGAGGGCTCAGATGTCACCCGGCACAGGCTCCTACAGGGCCCCAAGTGAGACAAGGGTAACGTGCAGGTCACATTATACTGGGATAGAGGAGGAGCAGGAGGTGTCTCGATGGTCATCTCTACTGGGTGCTGGGGAGACAGCATGTGACTGGAACATGGGAAAGGATCAGTGTCTGTGTCATCTTCCCAGCAGTCTGTGCCTCAGGGTGACAGAGGTGATGAGGGGACCACTTCAGCTCAAAGAAAGAAGGAATTACAGAAGTCGTGGGGCTCGCGGTTTACTACGCCTAGTGGACCTTGTGATGATCATCAACTGCTGATAAGACCACCAAACAGAACCAGGTGTTCTACCTCACCAGGCCCCTACGCTGACAGATGTCCTATCTTACCACGCCCCGTTCTATCAGATGGTCTATCTTACCTTGCCCCCTGCCCCACCAGATGTTCTAGCTTACCACAGTACCCTTCAAATGTTCTATGTTACCACACTCCCTGCTCTGCCAGATGTTCTATCTTAACCACACCCTAGAAGTGCAGCCAGAGTGCTCTTTAGAGGCCAAGATGGCCAAACTTCAGACATTGTGAGGAAGGACCAGTCACTGGAGAAAGATATCATGTTTGGTAAGCTGGAGGGTCAAAGAAAAAGAGGAAGACCCCCAGACAGATGGACTGGCCAAGTGGCAGCATCAATGGACTCAAACGTGGCAACCGTAGTGAGGTTGGCCCAGGACCGGGCAGTGTTTCATTCTGCTGTGCACTGAGGTCACTGTGGGTCAGTACCAACACGAGGGCACCTAACAACAACAACCACCCTGCCAGCTGTTCCCCCTGCTCCGCCAGATGCTCTGTCTTACCACATCCCCACTTCACCAGATGTTGTATTTCAACAACCACTCAACCCCCAACCCCCGCTCTACCAGTCTGTGTGACCACAGCAACACACATACCACCATCCCCACTTCATCGCCATGTCTGACCAAGGCTGGAGAAGGGAATTTGGAGGGCAGTGGATTCTGATCAAAGACACCAATCCATCAAGTGGCAAAAGCTCTGTGGGAATAATGAGCGGTTTCCTCAGCAAAAGAACATAGTGCAGGGAAGAAAGACTGAGGGAGAGTCTGATTTTAAAATCTTAAAAGGCAGCTCCACCAACCAGTGTGTGGGTCCTTTCTGGATCCCATCCCAAATGTATTTTTTAAAAAAAGCTCATGAAACCACTAGGGAAATGCAAACTGATTGTCTATTAATGAAAATATTGTAAGTTCATGGAAAAATGGAATTAAAATTTGAATCAACTGTATCTCTCAACATTGGTTCCATCAAGTTGAGACACCTTTGTGAGTCATGAGCCTGTCCCTAAAGAAGTGGACCTCCTGGGAATTTGACCATGTCAAGACACTCATTTTTACGTTATGAACTGAGGAAAAATGGATGCCTTTCAAAGGTTTTTACACTTAAGAACTAAAGAAGTCAGGAGGAAGCAACTCAGGGCAGTAAGGCAGACATCTCCTTATTTCCCTGGAAACTCTCACTGTCCTAACAGGGAAGGCCTCGCTGGTGAAGCATTCTGGGACATTTCTCAGCTAAAGCTTTGGCTAACTCTCTTAAAACACGTTCATAAAGCACATGCCAGCATTCTTTGGCCCTCTGCAAAGGCAGCAAGCACAACACCTTGACCATCCCAAAAAGCTGTCTCCAGGACCCTTGCTCTTGACTGGACGGCGTTTTCTCTGGCTGTACCACGTCCACCTCCTGGTAACCGTTGGTCTGATTGTGCTCTGTCTTTGGAATCGTACTGGTGGAGGCATGTTTCATCTCCTGCTACAAGTCTTCCAAGAAGCGTTTCAGGGTCTTGAGCCCACCTGTTTACAGTTTCCATTGGCAGCCCTGCTCCTGTCTGCCGCTGATGTGGACCCTGCAGTTTGGGCATCATTGAGAGGAGAGTCTGCTCAGCTTTCATTTTCAGTGGGAATTTACAGGCTGAATCACTGCGCTGTTGGCCCTTGTGTCTGCTGGTAATCTTCATTCCTCTTCAGTTAGGGTCCAAACAAAACAGTCTCTTCACAAACGAAGGTAGCTGGTCTGCCACTGCAGGCTTATGCTTACCACTGTCTCATACCCTTTTAAAACAAGGTATGGTGCTGTGGGTTAATGCGCTGCACTGCAAGGTCAATCTGAATTGCAAGATTGCTGGTTCAAGCTCATCAGCTGCTCCTCAGAAACCCTATATATGAGTCAGAACCAACTCGACGGCACTTAACAATATATCTATGGGTAAACTATTGATTTCTTTGGGATTTTGTCCCCATAAATTTTTGTTTTTTAATTTTTTTTAAGTTTTTATTGTGAATAGAGTGAAAGTTTACAGGGCAGAGATCATCATTTTTACATTCAACAAATCATACACCTTGTTTCATTACAATGATTATAATCTGCTCCATGTTCCATCAGATAACAGTATTTCTCTCAATTCGCTTTAGCTCTTTTTTTTGAACACTCAGGCATATATAATAATTTACACCACCAAAGGGCACCTTCTGCAAGTCTGCCTCCTGGCTGCCAGCTCTCAGTCCCTCTCTTCCCATGAATCTAGAGTCCTCAGCTGCTCCCTCGCTCCATGTTCCCATCTCTGCCTCCATCTTGGATGAGGTCTCACATTCTGCTTGTGCTCTTCTCCCTTGATGGTCCTAGGGCTGTTTGCTTATGGACTGTAAAATTAACTACTCCCCCGTTTTTGTTACAAAACTTCTACCTTTATCATTATGACAGTAGCAATTAGTCATGATAACAATTACTCACTGTTGAATCTTATCCCCCTCTCTTTTTACCACACCCATCTAGACAAGATGAAAACTACTCAGTGGGGACTCTTTCTTTCCCCCACACTCTGAAACTAAACTCCCTCTTGAAGCCTTGTAAGGCAGTCACTTCATGCCTTTATCACCCCTTCACTTTAGGTAGCCAGTGTCTAAGTTGCCCATCCCTGTCTACCCTGTATAATACAGAGAGGATAGGATTGATACTTGATGTGAAGACTCCTTCCCTCTCTGTTGGTATTTAGAGTTACTACCTCCATGAGTAGAGGTCAGGTTCATCAGATTGTAGCAATTTACCCTTGTTTCCTTTTTCAAAAATTGTTTTGTTTTTATCTTCCTCTAGTCGAGTTCTGATTATCGAGCCATCGAGGCTAGGTCAAATGGGTACTGTCTGCAAGTTTGGGTGTTCTTGTGCATCTCCCCTCACTTAATATCAGCTGGGTGCTTCACTCTCAGCTTTAGCCCTCTGTGGCTATGTCATTGTCCATGGGCTCAGGTGTCCCCAGGTCTCACCACACTTTGGACCAACCAGCCCTTCCTCTTCTCTCTCTCATCTCCAGATCAATGGGAGTCTATGGACCATGGTTGAACTCAGCCCATTTCTTCATTGCTGCCTTTTCCCCTCTTCCACTCACCAGTAGACCAATGTGGTTGTCAGCATGTCCCCATAAATTTTTCATGAAACATCAATGATTTCACCCTTCTTCCACACAAGCTTCACCAAAAATTTGATGTTTGTTTTTGTTTTAATTTTGACAGAATTCATGCTGCTCTGATAGTTGCTCTTTTCAAACTAATATCTTATCTTTCTTACTGGCGCAAACTAGATCCTGTTCAGGGAGATGGCAACCATGTCAATACGAGTTTATTTAGGTACCAAAAAATTTTGGAATTCAAGCATAGTTTTTTCATAATACGCATTTTCCATGAACTTTTTGAAGACCCCTTGTATTATCAATTAGGCATTACAGGAGCCACGGTTCTTAAAGCGGTTGGCCGTCAGCTTCTGTAAAGACTCGATCACCCTTGGAAACCCCGTGGGGCACGTGCAGTCTGTCCTGCAGAGTCACAATGAGTCAGATTTGACTTGATGGTAACAGGTACCTATCGTTCATCATGAATGCCTATGAGGATCCCCACTCCTGCACACACATACCACCTCGGAAACCCTATATATACGGTCACTATGTGTCGGAACTGACTCAACAGCACTTAGCCACAATGCTTACTAATAAAATAATAATATTAATTTCAATGACCTTTTTAAAGGAGCTCTGGTAGCGTAGTGGTTACAAATCGGGCTGTGAACTGCAAGGTCAGCAGTTCAAAACCACTAGCTGTTCCACAGGAGAAAAATGAGGCTTTCTGCTCCCATAAACATTTACAACCTTGGAAACCCTGTACAGAGTTGCTATGGGTCGGAACCAACTGCATGGCACGTCACCACCACCAATTGTAGTATGGTGACTACATTTTTTGGAAAACTAATCCACAGAAGAAGGAGGGGTGGACGCTGCACCCGGGCACTCTCTCGGCCTCTACATCTCTTTGGCCTTTGCCATAAACGGAGGCTGGCATTCCTGATTTCATACTCTTGTATAAACAAAGCACAGTGTGCTCTCCGACGATATCAAAACTGTAAAATCCCAGCGCTTCACTGCGAAAGCTGAACAACAAACATCATCAAACTGAATGGAATCGTACTTCAGGTTTTAAGGAACCCGCACTGAAAAAACTCGTGACCCATGGGAAAGCTTATTTCACTGGTTCAAACAGCTAAAATGCAGTCAATGTGTCAAAAGAAAATGCTACAGTATAAAGAGATTAGCAATTGATAAACAAGTGCTTTATCTTGTTGAATGTAAGTAAAATAGTGCTTTTCTCCCAAATTTAGGGATTAGCAATCAACCTGAAAACTGAATAACATACAGGCTTACTGTTCTAAGCACACATAAATCATCCGGTTTAAAGCGGTCACAATCAGAAGTGCGGAAAATAACAAAGAATGAAGTTAAAACGGAACAAACAAGAGCTTGCCCTGCCCCCATCAGCAATAATGAAACATAACGCAGACTTCACACTTACACTGTAACTTGGCTCGGATTTTATTAGCAGTTTTCTTGATTTCTTTATTTAGATCCTCAAGCTCTTCTTTAATTTCTTTAGAAACAAAAACAAAAAATAAATATAAGGCGTAAGTAGTGGCATCCAACACACACAGAGCAGCGAGGTTAAAGGAGACAGGAATCCGCTTGGTAAACATGTGTTTTCCTCTCTTGCTTCTCCAGTGGTTCTGCAGGGAGGCCCAAAGTCAATGGGGCCTCCGGAGATGAGTGCGCTCCATGCCGCTCACCTATGAGGGAGGGGCATCCTGCTGGTTGGGGGTGGGGGTCACCTCCCATCCACCCACAGTGTCACTAAGGGCACAGTGGACAGACACCATAGCCAGTGCCCAGGTTGGGACAGGAAAACAGAGCTCCTACCATCAGGACCTCTCCCTCTGAGTGTGTGGGAGATTGGTCATAGTCCATGTGCCCCAGTGTCTGCATACCGACTGACGCAGAACATGGCATCTCCATGGTCGGGTGCGAGCAGAAGACCTCTGGTTGAATCGACAGTGCCGCAAATTAGGGCAGTGCCTAAGGGAGCAGGCCACAGGACCTGACTCATTCCACAGAAGGACAGCTAGACACCATGTGTTCACACACTGCCAGGAGCTGTCTACTGTTATAGGCAGCAGTATCTTCCCTCGAGCCCGATCACTCTAGAACCCAGGAGACAGAGAAACCTTTCTCCTACATCCAGAACCCACAAGACAGACGAACACTCACCCTGTGTCCAGAACCCACAAGGCAGAACCATTCACCCAGCTAACCCATACCAAAAGATTCATGCGGCTGGACAATTCAGCTTTTTGTCCGTGGTTTTCCTTCCCTTGGTTTCTATCTACCTTGACACAAGCCAGTAGACTAAGTCTACGGAGAGGATGCCAGTGCCCCACCTTGGTCTCACTGGGATTATCTCCAGAAAGCCTGCAGCTTCTATTCTTCCAGAGTAAGGAAACACTTCCTTACCCAGAAGCCCCTGCACCTGGTTAAGTTAATGTCCTTCTCTTATAAGGTACGTTCCATAGATGTTCGGCTCTGCATACTCCATACTGTCATGGATTGAACCATGCCCCCAAAATATGTGTCAACTTGGCTAGACCGTGATTCTCAGTGGGCTGGCATTATGAGAAGATGTGATCCCCCATGACACAATTCGGTACCATCAGTCAATCAGCTGAAAAAAGCTTAGGGTGGGCTGTAATCCCTGACTGAGGTTAACAGCCCTGAGCCCAGGTAATGGGGGTTTCCCTGGGCGTGGCTTGCATCACTTACGTCACGAGAAGGAGAGAGAAGGGAGCAGACATGGAGGGGCCTCAGTATCATCAAGAAAGAAGAGTATGCCATTTGCACCCAGGGTCCCTGCACTAAGAACCTGCTGGACTCGGGGGAAAACTGCTCCCAAGATACATGGAGATCTGCAAGGAACACCAGGCCCAATGATGTTAAAAAGAGGCAAGCACCATCCCCCCAGAGCCAACAAAGAGCGAGCCTTCCCTAGAGCTGGCCCCTGAATTCGGACGCCGCGCCTCCTAATCCATGAGAGAACTCATTTCTACGGTAGCAGTACCAGGGAAGGAAGACACCCGTATCAGAGTCTTGACCTCAGCTCTCCACTGGCTGTAACAAGTCCCATTCTCTAACCCCGTCTCATGTCACCTGGCCCCTGAGCATGTAGCCCTGTCAGTTCCGTGGAGCTGCAGCCATGACACAAAGCTCCCTGGCTGGACACACGGCCTCAGTCCACCCTGCCAAGTCAGAATGCCAGGGCTGCATGGCTCTCGTACCGTGTACTCACAAGCTTCACAGTAAATCGCACAGCACTGAGGATGGAGAGGATGGGTTGCAGAAACACACACACAGAGACACTGCTGTTTCTGGACAAATACTTACTTCCTTCTGGGTTTGGTGCAGAGAGGATGATGCTATGGTTCTTTTTGACCTCTTCCACAAACTGAGCGATTTTAGCTATGCTGCTTCTGATCTCCTCAACCTGGAAGAGCCAGAAAAGGTCATCAGCGAAATCAACCTTGCTACATTGTGCTTCATCGCCTCAAAAGGGAAGGGGCAGGAGGGAGGCAAACGAAAATCACAGGAACATGCACAGTCCTGCCCTGCCTCACACCGGAAATGACGTCACTGAAGAGACAGACTTGCACCATCCTATACTACGTACTTTCGTGACTAAGGCAACATCAACCAATCTGACCAGTAAAGCCTACCAGCAAACCCACTGCTGACACATTGATTCCAACTCATAGTGACCTTACAGACCAGCGGAGAACTGCCCCAGAGGGTTTCCAAGGCCGCAATCTTTATGGGCGCAGACAGCCATGTCTGTCCTCTACAGCACAGCTAAGGGATCTGACCCCAGGACTTTCACTTAGCAGCTCAACACCTAACCCAGTGCGCCACCAGGTGCCTTCAAACCCAACCTATTTATGCCATGGTGGTGGTGGCTATGTGCCGTGGAGTCGGTTCCGACACATAATGACCCCATACAGGGTTTCCAAGGCTGTAAATCTTTACAGGGCAGAAAGCCTCGTCTTGGTCCCGGGGAACAGCTGGTAGTTTTGAACTTGCATAAACGTTTTCAATTAATACCCAACCAGGCACAAACTATTACGAGGTCATACTGTCCAGTGTCCATAGCCATGGCACACACATCGGCTACAGTGCTGCCTGCTAACAACAGGGCGGTCCTCTATCCTGCAGGGCCTCCATGAGTCAGAATAAACTCAACTGCAAGGGATTTGTGAGCATGTTGACAGTAGTATTTCCATGAGAGAGGCCCACAGGGTCAAGTGTCCACATTCGCTATCTCTGACCAGTGAGAGTCTCAAGTAGCCAAGGTTTGCTTCAAAGCGTAATTACACATTGGCAAGATTTGCCAGGTTCATTGTGTTCTCTCCTTAGAAAGCTTATGGTCACTTTAAAATGGCCCCCAACTACATCTGCTTCCTAATTCCCTGGACCTGTGATTGGTACCTTGGATGCCAAAGGAACTTTGCAGTATGATCCAATTACAGATCTTGAGATAGAGAGGATCTTCAATTACCCAGGTGGGCCACAAGCGACCATAGACAAGGCAGGAGAAGTGGGGAGGGAGGCCTGGGGAAACATGGAGGCAACTGGCCACACGAAGCAAGACGTTACCACTGGCTCTGAAGATGGAAGAAGGGGCCTCGTGCCTAGCAGTGTGGGCGGCCCCGTAAAGTATGGTGCCTCTAGAAGGAAGCAGCCCTATAGACACCTAGATTCGGCCACTGAGACCCGTGTCAGACTTCTGACCCCCAGAGCTGTGTGTGACCTCACACGCCACCACGTTTCCCATCGTTTGTTATAGCGGAAAGAGGACACAGCACCATAAATGCTTTCAGGAAAAATTATTCTTTTTCCAAAACAGAAATAAACTAGTAAACACAGAGACCGTTTTCTACAAATCTGAAAATGGAACGTCCTCCTGGACAGATGACAGTCAAAGTTTCCTATCTACTTCTGTGTCTAATGTGGGGCCCGGCCACACCCTCCACCATACGTTCATAAGAGGATGAGCATGAAACAGGACACACCGTCGGCCTTTGAGCAGCTCAGGTTGGAAGTACGTGGGCCCACTTATATGCAGATTGCTTTTTCCACGGTTATTACATCGAGCATCCACTGAAAATGCACACACAGCTCAAACCCGTGTTGGTCAAGACTGGACTGTAGTTCTGACCAGACGGAACCCTTGGAAGGGCCTCAGTCCTGGGGAGCCCCGGTCAGAGCTCCTAAGATGTTTCGTGAAGCCCACAGCATGGCAGAGTCTCCCGGGAACGTCTGCTGTTTCCACAACAGTGAAGAGGCACTCCGTACTGTTCAGTCTGCGGGATCACAACCTCCCTCACCTGTTACATGTCATGTGAGCATCCTGTCAACAGAGCACCTTAAAAACAAGCCCTGGGTCTTTTCTAAACCTTTGCCATTTTACAATGAAGGCTTACACCCAAGTAATGAGACATTCAGCATTAAGGATGCAGATGGTCATTTCCATCTGCCATCTTTAAGTGACCATGTCCAAAGCAAATTCCCTGGTGCACGTATATCAAAAAAAAGCAGGACAAAAGACGAGGTCATGTTTGAGGGGCTCTGGCAGCAAAAGCCCCACCAGCTCAGCCCGGCAGGGATGCCCCAATGTGACAATGGTGCCAGCCCCTGCCTGCGCCTGTGATCTCCACGACACAGGCTCTCCTCTTTTCATTATGATCATCTTCACAAAAAGGCAACCTCCTAGACCCGTGGGCTTGCGCACATTCGAAGGCACACTTCAGGTCTAAAGGTCACTGTCTAGAAATGAGTTGTGTCAGCAAACCTCCATTGCTTCTCCCTTTGTCCAAGAAGTCACTCCATAGCAACCGACTGTAAAGTCAATTCAATTTTTAACAAATGGAAACCTGACCTTATGCTACGGTTCAAATGGATTCAATCACGCTCCAACCTTCCTAACACAAGTGGTCTGCTTTCCTATGTAGCCCCTGAACTCCAATGTTGTCATTGGGGGTCGTCAAGTCAAGGTGATCCCACCTCATAACGATCCCATGGGACCGGGCAGAGTTGCTCCGTTGGGTTTTCTTGGCTGTCGTCTTTATGGGCACAAATGCCAAGTCTTTCTACTCTGGAGCCACTGTCTGAGTTCAGACCTCCAACCTTGTGGTTAGCAGCTGAGCACCGAACCGTCTGCGCCCTGAGTGCTCCGTACATACCAACAGCAAAGATGCGTTAGTACTAGATCAGCAAAGACCTCAGTTCAATGTCCTTCAGGAAATTACCGTACATAAATGTTGTATTAAATATAACAACAATTAATGCTAGGAGATCTTTAAAACAAGAAATGTATCTTTATATATATAAAAAATGGGTACAGAAGAACTAAGCATCCAGGTAAAGATGGCACAGTGCATAAAAACAGTGAGGAGACAATTTAAAAATGTCTCATTTCCAAGTAGTACAATCAGAAAATCCAGTATTTAGCTCTTGTATTGATTAAATTCTTGAACTGAACAATTTAATCTCATGATTTTTCCACTGTGATAAATATTTTCAATATGGTAACAAGACTGACACTAAGTACTCAATAAATCCTGGTTGAGATCTGGAAAACTGATATCATTTCATCTATTTCTGCTAACATATTACGAATGTTTAAATCCATATACTAACAGACCCAACTGGACTCTCCGTCCAAATCTAAGCACTGAAACTATTATCCTTTAGACTCACCGTAAACAAAACCAAGCCTGAAAACAAAGTTTTCATCATTGAAAATACATTATGTAGATACTTTTATTTGTTCAGTTTCTGTTCTGTATCTCAACCTCAAAAAAGGAGAAATTATGTAAAATGTCATCAAACATAAGACTGTGAACATACTGCAAGCGATGGGCAGCCTGGGGAGGGGGGGAAGGTTTCCAGTGAAGTCCGAGAGAACACACCAGGTTCAAGGTCAGATCCTCACCTAAGCACCAGCCAGGCTAATGAGCGGCCAGCTGTTTACTACTATTGTAAACAAGGTATCACAACTGGGTGGCTTTAATCAACACATTGATACTCTCTGTTTCAGTGGCTGGAAGCACAAATTCAGAGCACCAGTTCTAAGAGGAGGCTTTCTTGTCAGCTGGGGGAAGGAGAGGCTTTCTTGTCAGCTGGGGGAAGGAGAGGCTTTCTTGTCAGCTGGGGGAAGGGGCTTTTCAACATCTTCCCCTGGGTCTAGGAGGTTCTCAGCACAGGG